AGTACTTTATTAATTTCCATGGTTCTTTTTTGCCAAGTAACAAGCTGGTTTTCCAAATCATTGCCATTCATGAAGTATTTTTCAAGCTTTAATTCTGATCTTTCTGGTCAAGAAGTTTAGTTTAGGACATTATGGGGCTTGTTTCAACTTGGTAACGCGTGAGATATGGGTGTTGGAGGCACAAGAATTATGTTGCTGTTTAGTTCTGTATTCTGTGACTTGACTTCTGGGTAAAGTGTATTTGCTGTAGGTCATAGTCTATTTTCTTTTTCTGGAGACACCCACTTTACAAATTGTACACTCGGATGAAATGATGATTATAGTTTTTCCTTTACATTCCCTTGAATGTTAATAACTTATCCGCTATTAAACTTTGAAGAATCAAAGAAACTCCAACTCTCTATTACAAATTGAAGATTTGTTTTGCTGAATCTCATGGTGATAAAGAGAACTTTAACATTACTGCTTTAACCAAAATTCGCTCTCATCCTCATAGGTCGGTTCCTTTGTACCAGCACTATCTGCAAAGCTGCATGTGGTAGATAGTATTTATACTCGAATAGGAGCTTCTGACAGTATTCAACGAGGAAGAAGTACCTTTTTGGAAGAACTGAGTGAAGCTTCTCTCATACTGCGGAATTGCACGACCCGCTCGCTGGTTATTATCGATGAGCTTGGCAGAGGGACAAGTACACATGATGGTGTAGCAATTGCCTATGCTACATTGCAATATCTTCTTGAGAATATAAGATGTATGGTCCTATTTGTCACCCATTACCCTAAGATAGCTGATATCAAGAATGAATTTCCAGACTCCGTGGCAGCATATCATGTTTCATATCTGACTTCGCAGAGAGATGATCAACTGGGTTTAGACTCTAACTTGACTGTGGATGGCATGAATCAAGAACATATCACTTACCTTTACAAACTTGTGCCTGGTGTTTCAGAAAGGAGCTTTGGCTTCAAGGTAGCTCAGCTTGCAGAGGTTAGTGGCTTGCCAGATCGGTGAATAACAAACACTTCAAACTGACTTTTCAGTGGCAGAATTTGGTACTAAGATTATAAAAATTTTACAGTCAATACTGAAAGGTCTGGAAAGATGTTTTTCCGTTTGTTGCTTGTCAATAGTAGTTGCATATCTTGTTTGGCAAAGGGACACAAAGAGCAAAGTCGTTGGTAGTATAATCTTCTTGTTCCTCTCCTTTCAATAAGCCATACCGGCTGAATGCTGGGGTTGGTTTAGATCCTTAACATATTCTCGTGTAAGAATCACTGATGGGATTTAATTGCCGTGCCATTTGTCTATTGCAGCTGCCATCGTCCTGTATTGAACGAGCCATTGAAATGGCTACAAGATTGGAAGCAGCAGTATGCAACAGAGAGAGAGAAAGGCTGGTGATGAAATGTGCCACAGAAAGTGAACTGAATTTAAGCGATAAAGCAAAGGCGAGAGAAGATGAAGAAAGAGAAGAGAGCATCTTGAATCCTGTTGATTCCTTGGGTACTGGAAAGATCGAAAGCTTAAGAGTATTTTGCGATGCTTGGAGGGAGTTCTTTCCATACTTGAACCTTGCAGTTTCAGGAGAAAGTGATGATGCAGAAAGGCTCCAAATTTTGAACCTTGCGAAGAGACTTGCACTTGAGTTGATAAACAGATGAATTGTTTTGCGAGTTATCTATTGTTTAATCCGCAATAGTATTTGCAATTGCGTTTGCCTCGAATCCTTGCATGCTTGGGTGCTGTCCGTTGTCTTTTAATTCCCCATGTAACTGAGTTATTTCTGCATTTTGGCCCAGTGAAAAGAGGATTTCTATGGTATGAGAGCCTAAATCTACGCTCTTTCATCTTAAACTCTTACACCCAGATACCAGATTCAAGGCGCGGAATAATAATATGTGTCTTAAAAACATAAAAAAGTAAAACTATATATGATTGGAGCATGTGTGATTTTAGTTCTTAAAAAGTAAAAAAGTTTAATACAAGTTTTGAGAGAATTATAGTTTGGTCCCAAATGGTACTGGAATCTGGTCGCATGCTGGCAACTAATCTTTTGAACAGATTTTTAAAAAATATGAAATAATAATTTCAACCATAATACGAAACATATGATAAAGGCTAATCACCTACATGGGGATTACAGGAATAATTAATCTTCTATTCGGAAAATTTTTTTTTTTTTGGGTTCTGAACTAAAAACTAATTACTTACATGATCAGCACATGAGCATTGAATCTTCTTATTACAAAATATGACTAAAAGTATTTTTTAAAAAAATTATTCAAACAATTTAGTTGTCAACACTTGGCCAATGGAACTAAATGTGCCTAGAAATTTAAATATTTGGGACTATATTTGCTTTCGTTCAAGTTTTAGGGATAAAATCCGTTCATGGCCCAAATATTTGGGATCAAAATTAAAATTCTCTCTAAAAAAAATTTTTAGGTTAACTACATAATTTTATTATTTCTAAAATGGAAAAAAAAAGAGAGAAAGCATTCACTTTTATTGTTGAATTTTGGGAAAGGATTTCAGCTTTAAACTAAACATAATTACATTAGGCTTGTTTATCAATCAGACATATTTATATTTAAGTTAATCCCTCCATAAAACACTTCAAATTTATATTTAGGGATAATTGCAGAAACCTCCCCTGACTTTTATAGTAATAGCATTGACCTCCCCTATCAATTTTGAAATAGCACTGATCTCCCCTATCAAAAGTTGAAGGCAATTTAATAGGCAAAAGTGGGTCAATTTACTAAAGTACCCCTGACATGATTTAATTTTACCAAATGAATGTGACGAGTACTTTCATCAAACCTAACAAAACATTTGTTAATAAAAATTACACTAAATTAACTATTTTTGCATAGTTTAACTAATTAACTAAATAACTAATAATCTAATTAATTAATAACTAATTATCTAATTAACTATTAACTAATTATCTAATTGTTAATAGTTATTAACTAATCAAACTATTTCTGTATAGTTAAACTAATTAAATATTAACTAATTATCTAATTAACTATTAACTAATTAACTAATTAACTAATTAACTAATTATCTAAGTAACTAAAGCTGTTGTCTGTCCGAAACTAACAAACTATTTGCATGTTAAATTAATTAACTAATTAATTGCTTAACGAATTAACTACCTAATTATCTAATTAATTAATTAACTAATTAACTAATTTTTGTTTATCTAATTAACTAAAGTTGTTGTCTATCCAAAACTAACAAACTATTTGCATGTTAAACTAATTAACTGCTTAACTAATTAACTAATTAATTAAAACTATTGTCTATTTGAAACAAACAAACTATTTGCATGTTAAATTAACTAATTTTTGTTTATCTAATTAACTAAAGTTGTTGTCTATCCAAAACTAACAAACTATTTGCATGTTAAACTAATTAGCTGCTTAACTAATTAACTAATTAATTAAAACTATGTCTATTTGAAACAAACAAACTATTCGCATGTTAAACTAATTAACTAATTAACTGCTTAACTAATTAACTAACTAATTATCTAATTAATTAATTAACTAATTAACTAATTTCTATTTATCTAATTAACTAATTAACTAAAGCTATTGTCTATCCGAAACTAACAAACTATTTGCATGTTAAACTAATTAACTAATTAACTAACTAACTAATTAAAAAACTATTTGCATGTTAAATTATATGCAGTACGCATTATCTATTTAAAGTATCGGTTCTTTATGGGTATTTTACTTTCAAACATTTAATTTATGATTAAAACATCAATGTTTGTAAGTAAAATTCAAAAAGTGTTACAGTAATATCAATATTCTTACTTTAGATAATTAGTTAATTAGTTAATTAATTAATTAGATAATTAGGAAGTTAATTAGTTAAGCAGTTAATTAGTTAATTAGTTTAACATGCAAATAGTTTGTTAGTTTTGGATTAGGGCTGCAAACGAGCCGAGCCGAGTTGAGTTTTGAGCTAATCGAGCCGAGCCGAGTTAAGTTTTGAGTTAATCGAGCCGAGTCTCGACTAAATTTTACCAAGCTCGAGCTCGACGAGCCGGCAAATAAATAAAATAATAAAAAAATAATAATAATGAATAAAATAATATTTTTTTCTTAATAAAATAATAAAATATTAAGGATATATACGTAATTTTACTATAAAAATAAAAAATAAAAAATATATATAATATACATAATTTTATTATTAAATAAAAATAAAAATAAAAAATATATATATACTTAAGCTCGCGAGCTAACGAGCTTAATATTTTGAGCTCGATTAATATCGAGCTCGACTCAAGCTCGACTCGAGCCGCTCGCGAGCGGTTCGATTCGTTTGCAACCCTATTTTGGACAGACAACAACTTTAGTTAATTAGTTAATTAGACAATTAGTTAATTAGATAAATAGAAATTAGTTAATTAGGTAATGCGTACTACATATAGTTTAACATGCAAATAGTTTGTTAATTAGTTGGTTAGTTAATTAGTTAAGTAGTTAATTAGTTTAACATGCAAATAATTTTTTAGTTTCGGACAGACAACAGCTTTAGTTAATTAGTTAATTAAATAATTAGTCAATTAGTTAATTAGATAATTAGTTAATTAATTAATTAGTTAATTGTTAATTAGATAGTTAGTTAATAGTTAATTAGTTTAACTATTAACTAATTAGATAATTAGTTAAGCAATTGTCAAGCAAATAATTGTCAAGCAAGTAAGGGCAATATTGGAAGAAAATATTGGAAGTAAGGGCAATATTAGCTGTCAAGGAGGTCTCTGCAACAAATTATTACTGTTCAGGGGAGGTGAATGCAATTTTTAAACTTAGAGGGTAGGTCAGTGCAAATGTCAGAAATCTCAGGGGAGGTTTCTGCAATTATCCCTTATATTTAATTATGAGAAAAAGATGAAGGGAATGGGCCCTGATTTAACTCCAACTTCGCACTAGCTTCTGCAGAAACTAGTTAGTTACTAACCGCTCCTCCCTATATGACATGCCGCCCCTGGTCTACCTCTACCATAACACTACCAAATGGAATATAAATTCGAACCCATTCTGCATGTAGCTGACGACAATTGATAAACAGCCCAAAAACGACGGTGTAAGGGCGATCAAGCGTGTTAACGGCGATTGAGAAGCGCAGGGGACTGGGCCTTTTTCCTTCTTCCTTTGGAACCATCAAACTCCTATTGATTCCACGGCATTGGTGACTGGTGAGCGTGTCCTGCGTGCGCGTTGTTTTTGATTCGAATTATATGAAATAGTCTGTATATCTGAAATAAATTGCGTGGATCCATGATTACTTGTCTGAAGCCCATTGTCTTGTCTGCTTATCTAAAGAGAGAGGGCTCGACAACCCCATTGGGAGTCTCCTTAATTCTAATTTTTCTCTTGTTTCTTGATCAGGGACTAGGAAAACACGTGAAGAGATGAATGGCTAAAACCAAGATCTAATGATTCTGGTATTTCTTTAACTTCTAGATGTTCCTAGTACATATGATGATGGCTTGCTTCCCCGGTGTTTTGCTTCTACTGTGATTTGATGATGGTTGATGTTTCTTGTTGTCTGCGAAAGGACTTCTTGACCAAGCATGATAATTTTTTTTTTTTAAATCTCATTGCTTTTAATTCTTGTCAGATTTTGGATTTCTTGTACTGTGATTGTATTATCTACTGATGTCTCATTTCCTTTTTGATGCAATCTAGATGATAATTTTGGTTAATTCCCATGTGATTGATTTCTCTACCCTTCCCCCACCCAAAATAGAAAATGATTGTGATGATTGTTCAGTTGGACTCAAGGCAGTGATGCGTACTTCCTGTCCACAAAATTGCAGGTACAGTAGAGCCGGCCAAATGATCTGCGCTTTTGTAGCCGACAAATAGAGCAAATTGTACTTAGCGCTGAGTGATTAAAACGAGCTGATTCTGAAATTCGCTTTTTTCCCAAAGGGCAATTTTGGCTAAATTTTACAATCCAAAGATGATCTGAGATGAGCAGGAATTTAAAGAGGATCCAGACCAAGATTTAGAGGATCATTTGAGTGCATAGACAACATTCAAACTTCCAATGGCATCTTTTCCTCCATCTCCAGAACTTGATGTGCAACCAATTCATGGACTAACAACAGAACTTTCTCTCGGGAAGGATAATATTGTTGGGGAGGAACCTGAATGGGACACAAAAGATGAATTCTGCAACAGAACAGAGACAAAATCTCTGGGCCAATCTTTTATTCCCTTACTATCATGCCATGATAAAGATGTTACTGAACTGATTGAGGATCAAAGTGAAAACGCTTCACAACAGCACAGGCTCAAGTCCTTCTCCAACCTTTATGGGGATGATCATGGCTGCTTGAACCCAAAAAAGAGGGCATTGAATGTAGAGGCACTTAAGCCATCTGATCAATTACAACAGAAGTTTCGGAGCCAGGGAGATATTAAATGTGAATCAGATTTCACGGATGCTATAAGAGACTCTGAGATTGGGAATGGAGCTTTGAAGAGTCCACCGAACAGTAGTGAAAGTAATCTGCTGGAGGAGCGTGCTGGGAGTTCTCGAACTGGAGCTTTGAAGAGTACACGGAATGGTAGTGAAAGTAATCTGCTGGAGGAGCGTGCTGGGAGTTCTGGAAAATGGAGGCGTACTCGCTTGGCTTCTGAACAATCATGTGAAATAGGTGAAAGTGATGGAACTAATAAAAGAAGGAAAACCAGATGGGATGTTGGTGATGCTCAGATAAAATTGCTTGGTCCCATGCATCTTTCTGAATTTTATAACCAGTTCAAAGAGTCTGAATTGGATCCAGAGATTAACGATTTGAAAATGCAACTTGTGGAGATAAATAGCAAGCTCCAAAGCTCAGACGTTCAGGATGATAGGCCCGAGGAAGAAAGATCTCCTTCCCCAGAGCCTATGTACAACAACCTTGGCATAAGAATAAATACACGTGAGGTGAGGCTGCGCAGAAGACTTTCAGATGAGCGTACACTTATTATCTCCAAGTTAGTAGAGAAGAACCCTACATTTAAAACTCCTTTGAAGCCAAAGCTTACTAAGCTTTTTAAGAAACTTTACGTTCCAGTGAAAGAGTATCCAACATACAATTTTATTGGTCTTATAATTGGTCCACGAGGAAATACACAGAAGAAAATGGAGAAGGAAACTGGTGCAAAAATTTACTTGAGGGGCAAAGGTGCTCTAAAAGCTCTGGAGAAACGAGGACAAGCTGGCAATGAAGATTTGCATGTCCGTGTGGAAGCTGATAATAAAAGATCCTTGGATGCTGCAGTAGCAATGATAGAGAAGCTTCTGATTCCTTTTGCTGATGGAGTCAATGTTCATAAAAGAGCTCAACTAGCCGAGCTTGCCAGATTGGAGGGAACTTACAAGGACAAGAATACATGCAATACCTGCAAGGAGCAAGGACACAGAGAATACGCCTGCCCCTTCCGAAAATCCACTTTTAGGGGGATTACTTGCGGCTCATGTGGAAGTTTTTGCCATCCGACATCAAATTGCCCAATGTCATCTCAATTATACAAGCCGTCATGGAACTCTTTTGGACTTGGGTCTGTTTTGGTTCCAAACAGGGAAAGCAATTTGCATAAGGAAACTGATTTCACAAACCTGTATGTTGGTCACTTGCCCCAAATTTTTGGTTCAAATAAGTTGAAGGAGCTGTTTTTGCCATTTGGTAAGATTAGTGATGCAAAGGTAATTAAGAATCGAATCACAGGTTTAAATAAGGGCTATGGCTTTATTGCATTTGAGAATTCTTCAGATGCAGCCAGAGCTGTGGAATACATGAATGGCTATGAATTCAATGGCAAAAAGTTGGCTGTAAGGCTTGCTGGGCATCCACATCCAGCAGTAGCAGATAACGTGCCGTCAAGCAATCCAGTTATTTGATTTGGGCTCCCATCAGCTTTCTCGTGTAGCCAATCGCAAGCCAACTTGTTTACCACTCCCAGCTGCATGGATGCTGCCACAGACTCAATCATCCATTGGAAGCTGTCTAGGCCTAACTTTTCGTTTTTCCTCAACCTGCTTTGGGCCTGTCTGGCATCGGATTTCCCAAAAGAGATTCTGAAGATCCCTCTCCCTCTCCCTCTGTTGTTGGTTCAACGGATACAAGCAGCACTCCTTTCCCCTATCAGAATTCTGATGCTTTGCTTGACGATACATGGATTAAAAAGTGCGCAGCTCTGACTACTGATGTTGTAACGTGTCTGCTATATAATATCACTGTTGAGCAATTTGGCATCTGGGCCTGCTGAAATATTCGCCAATTGTATGTATATGTGCTTCGAGATTACCTGGTATCATCAGCTATGTAGTGCGAAGGTGGCTATCACTACGAGTGGGTCCTTGTATTATAGTATCGACGATATTGACATATGATGAACAATATCACCAATGAAATTTTCGCAAGGGCCCCGATTCATAGACTGCAGATGAGATGATGTTTCTGAAACAAATGACCATCCACTACTGTAGCTGGTTTGGTCTACCCTTGGCCGCAAACTCCATCTGGGAATTGATCACTGATCAATAATGCCTAAGAAATGTTTGAATCCCACTCGGGGTATATGTCACTTCTATATTTATTTACAATTCTACTATTTTCATTTGCTATAGTTTTCGACATCTGGACTTTCCATCTAACCACTTTTTCTCTAAACCTGTCGACAACTTGTCTCACTGCGTTAATCAATAAAAAATAAATTGGCATGAAAAACGAGCGATGCGATTTTGATCATCAATTCATGTAACATCTTAACGTTTCTACATCTAAAATTTCTAATCTCCCACACAAATAGAAAATTTCTTATCCCATGCGAATAAGTTTGAGAAAGCAAGATCAGATCCCTCGTACGACCCGCCATCCAGTATGATGTTACATCTTATCATTTGATACATCTAAAATTTCCAACTTCCCCACACAAATAGCAATTATGCATACATGAAAGGTGTTTTCTTTTTCTAACTTCTCAGCCCACCGTGTTTTCCCTTACAAGAACCCCTCATATAGACATTTTATTAATTTTCCTTTTCTTGTATTCATGGGTCAATCGTCTTTAATACTAGCTATAAACAACCTTAAATCTCTAGCTTTTCTTGCATGATCAGGAGAGATTTCGGTTTCTGACTCGCTCAACTCAATTAAGTCGATGCACTCCACATTTGCACCTTGACGTGTTGAACTTGGAGCAGACACTGGCAAAGGGCTCATCAGATTAATGACCTCAGTTCCACGAGGACTTGGAGCTACTGACTTGCACCCCATAGTAGTAACAGAATCAGCCTCTTTCTCCAACTTGTCCTCAAGGTGCAGTTCTTGGATTGCAAGATCAGCTTGGATTAAAGCACTAGTTTTCTCCAGTTTGGATCGTCCTGATAAGCTGGCACCTCTGGTGGTTTTGCTCTCATTTTCTATGTCAAGTAGCAGCTTTTGAAGCTTAAGATCAATTTCCTCTGCAGATGGCATGTTTCCAAGTTTCTTTGGTCTAGATACGCAATGATTTCTTTTCTTTCCTTGAGCTTTTCTCTCCTGGAATTCCACTATCTTTTCAGGACAGGCTCTGTAGGAAGGAAGAAGAGAACAAAGTCATTGCAATGATCCTGTCATCGCACAACAGCAGTAAGAAACGTAGCAGGGAACACAAGGGAGGAGAGGAGAGTAACTGTAAAGTCGAAGGAAGGCAAAACTGATGCATGATTACTTTCCTTCCCCACCAGATAGGGCAACAGAAGTGCTTATTCATTGAAGTTCTATGTGCTTTATAGGACAATCAGGCTATGTATATACTCAATAAGAAATTTTAAATTGGTAAACAGGTTTCTGACTATCTAACAAATGCAGGGTGAAAGTCAATGTTTATCTTCAAGGAGTGAAGCATGTATGATATGACAAAGGGCTGGAAAATCAGATGAATTAGGTCGCCTGGTTGTCATGGATATTCTTGTCAGCTAAGAGTAGGAGACTATTGCAGATGGTTGCATTACGGGGCATCTGGGCATTACTGGCAAGCTAGGATTCGATGTCGTGAGGATCTGTAGAAGATTTGAATACCCGTTAAAAATTGAAACTCTCTTTGTAAATCAGTCAGCACTAACCCAATGATTGTAAATCTTTTCTACATCTAACAAATACACTTGTCAAAGATGTTTTTCCTAATTCACACCCTGTATGTGTATTTGGGAGAGGGGGACTAAAATGAGAGACTAAAAAACATTCATACGTAAACACTATACCCCACCTTTTTTCTCTTTTCCTTTTTTTTTGGAGCAACCACTATTCCCACTTAAGTTCACCAAAACTCAAGAACGATGACACATTATGATGGACATTTATACAATGAAACCACTTATGAGCTGCTAACAAAGGAACTCCTGTACCTTTCTACTAGATCAGCCGGTACAACAGATGCATTTAGTCCATGCATTTCTTCCCATGAAACCTCAAAGCAATCTCTCCCTTGAAGCTTTCTTTGCTTGATAATACTTGATATAGGACACTTCACTGGCATCTGTACTTCAAAGAGAGAGAAGGTTCATGTTGAGGACCATAGTGCTCACTAAATAAATCCAATTCCAAGGGAAGAAAAGGTCGGGAAGATCCAAGTAGCACTACAGCACTAGCATTCTATCATCTAATACAATTAATTAACAAAAATTAATCCAGTAATCATTGGCATAAAGATGCATGAACCCCATAAAAACCTAAAGAAAATAATACCTCATCCATTGAAACTTTGACTCCAAGGTTTGATGAAGTGGAACGTAAACTAGCATATCGCCTTAGGTCTCTTTCAGCTATCTTCGGAAGAATGTACTCATCTAAGAAACAAAATGAGATATGTTTCAGTGGTGAAAAAGAAAGCCAAGCTCAATGGCATGCATGCTGTACCACAGCCAAATAGAAAAAAAAAGGAAGACAAAGGAAGTTTAATAGTGCTGCTGCATTATGCCAAAATTAGGTTCAGAAGCTAATGCTAAACCTGCATTAAGATGTTATTTCCAGTGCTATGTTTAGAACAACATTAATCTAATTCAGAACTTTAAATAAAATGCCTGTGGAGTTTTGGTGACTGATGTCTAAACAATATTCAACTTTAAATAACGGATAGAAGATTTTGACTGTAAAACAAACTACAACAGGATTTGATACAGGATAACAATGGTAACTAAGATGACAGTGTTGAGGCGTGTTCATAGGTGTCCACTAGTGATATCCCAGTCAAACCAAGCAGGATTAAGAACCAAATTGCATGAATGCTTGGGATCTTCATAGTTGCATCCATAACAGCAACAAAGACATTCACATACGCACATAGATGAGCACACTTATGTTTAAATATTATTTAAAAAAACCTGTCTTCTCAGGAGGCCAATCAAAAAACTGGGCACATATCTGCTGAAGTTGGTGGCGATTAAATGGATAAACAGCCAGTACCCTGTAAGAAAGAAATGAAGGAAGCAGAACTTTGGTCTTTCTTGACTTGCTTTTGATAAAGATCGTCAAACACTTAATATCAGGAAAAGTCTAGGGTATGATGGTCAAAATAATTAAATGGCACAAAAACGCGCACAACTTCAACAGCAATAAGCAAAACTAAGTAACAAGCCTGGATCATGGAACAGTACCTATACACAGCATCAGAGTCAGGTGGGTGGCACTTTGGCTTCAAATAGGCATTGATCACTTCCATGAACTCAGTATTCTTTTGGAAATTGGAATCAGCCCCTATTCGAAAAAAGCTTATTAATGAAAACCTTCAAGTTACAAATTATATTGCCAGACAACCATGAAAATCTCCAGTAACTGATATTTTAAGGCATAACAAATTTTTGCAGAAGTTATTGTAGTAAGACATAGAGTTTGCAGAATCAAAGGATGCCATCAAATATGACTTCAGGAAGCATTTATAGTCGAGAATCTACTGATTATGTCCTCATTCAATATCATTCATTCATCTTACAGAAAAAGCAATAACATCAGTTGAAGTGTGGCTTCTACATCCAAATTAACAAGGAAAAGAGATTCATGCAAGATGTATACAGATGATTCTTTGAAATAAATGATGATTTCCAACAAGTAAAAAAATATTACATAATATATAAGTCAAGGATTGACAGTCTTTGAATACAGACAAAGTGTAGCTTTCTTTTGACTCACCATTAGCATCCCTTTCCTGATTTGCACTCAAACTGCGTGCCTTTTTTTTTGAAACTTTTGGCTTCTGTGCAAACGATATCCCCTCCAATGCAATTCTGTGAAGAACAGCACTGTCACCAACTGATTTAACGATCTGACAAGCTGACTCCTATTTCAGGCATAGATAAGAATTCGTATTTATTTATATTACTTGTATATCAGCAAAAATATATTGAGTTCAGGAAGATATAGACGCTCTGACTTTTGTCATTAAATAACTTTTCAGGCTTACCTGACCGAGACCATACACCCCTTGGGAGTAATCACTACCAAGAAGAACAGCCAAAGTAATCTGAAGATCAGACCAAACTTGTTAATAGGGAAGTCTAAGAATACAATACAAAATCATAATAACCTGCAGCCCATAAAAAGTAAGATTTTAAACCAAAAGTAGTCATAAAAGAAGATGCAGCTGGCTAAGAAATCAGAAAAATTTTGTCAGCCATTTACAACAGAATACATAAAAAAACATGCACAACCTTTGTCTAGAAGAAAACCTTTCTATAAAAAAAGAAAACATAAAATCTGAGAGTCCAGTCATTTTAACTCAACATAGAGGGTGCTGATTAAAATAGTTTTCCTCCCTGTTGGGGGGAAAAATGAAGCTTTACTTAACAATAAAGTCTTCATATCATTCCAATTGCAGCTTAGCAAAACAGTTCATTTACAAGAATAGAAAGTTTCTTCTCAAGACAATGGTAATTCCCATCTTAAATCCTAGTGTTTTATTTTTATCATCACTAATTATCACAATTTTATTTTAAACTGAAACACCTCAAACTCAAAGGCTTAGGTACAAGAAGTAGCATGATTCAAAGCATCATTCCACCAATAATGTAAACAAGAAGTAAAAAAGTACCAAGGAATTCCTCCCAAAGCCAAGATTCCTCTCAATATCAGCCATTTCATAACAAACAACATAACCACCTTCGCCTAAACACAGGAAAATATTCTGTAATTGTTAGTATAGTAACTCATTAAGGGAGATTAAGGCTTATCCCAGAAAATAGATGCAAAATACTTACCAAGACAAATATCTCTATACACGGTTCTAGCACCAAACAGGAAAGCATCAGAATCTGAAGTGAAACATGCATCCTAGAATCATCATAAGAAACTGGATTACCACAGCAACTCAATAATGATGACTATTTCCGATGGTTAAGAAAATGTCATTACAGGTAAAAGTGATGACTGTGGTAGGAGAAACACATTCGGAGGGATGGTGTTTAAAGATCCTATGTTGCATTTACCCCCAAACACGCACTGAATGGAAGAGAAGAAAAGGTAAAGAAAAGAAATGATGCCCACCACTTACACATAATGATTCTGAGTTTAGCAATGCACATTGAGCTTCAGCCTCCTCTACCCTGGAAGTCAGCAGGCAGCCATTAGAAAAACACACTAGTTGCTATTAACTTTGAAGAGTTGCAACAGAAAAATATATGTATCTGATCATATTATGAGTAGATCTCTGTTTATTCCCTATTTCAAGACCCCAAAAATTATATCAGCCATTTTTACTTCAGCTCAAAGAAGATTTTCAAAGTTAGACATAATAATGTTCTAAAGATCTCGCAAGTCACAACTAGACGGTGGACCCAACAGAAGGCATAGAAATAAAAAATAATTACAAAACCCTAAAGAAGACAACAAGTATGGATTTGATGATTAATCTTACCATCTACATTCTAACTTCAATGCTACATCCAAGATAAATCACACTTAAGTAGGAGAATAGAGTTTACCCATCTAAGCAAGGAATTCCAAGTGCCTTGCCAAGACTTTTAGCCTCCTTTATCATGCATGAAAACTCAGAGCCCATGTTCCTTCTTAGTGACGATACTATTTTAGGATTTGTTTCCTCCACATTTACCTGAATTTGCAAAATCCATCATAAAGTACAATGCAAACGGTTGCTTGGTAAGCATAATGGAAGCAACAAGTGTTGAGGTTAACTAAGAAGATGGTACCTCACTCCCAACATTTAATCGTCGTCTATATGTAGATAACTTGATTGAAGGAATAGACCCATCTGTCAGAAAAATTTTGAGCATCAGAGTTCTTTACAACTTTTAAGTACTTGGGGAAATCCTATCCATACAGCACAATAACATGGTTCACACAGTCAGGGAAATAAAACTTGTAATTTTCAAATGCAGTCATAAAACAACAAAAAGATGCAAGTCTGTTGGATAAGCAATTTGGCAGAATAAATCCGTAGTCTTGCAGAATGCAGGCTAACAAGGCTCGCAATAAATTTCCAGCATCTACTGAGAGCTATCTAATTGCATACTCATACTGAGGCGATTTCATATGCTGCACACTCTTCAGTGAGGAAGTGTCTTCATTCGGTAGGTAATATGTAAAAATAATTAACCTTACTAACGACTGCATGCTGAACCCTTGTTCCCCATGCAATCCGTTAGAAGGTATAGATGAATCAGTAGCATACTAAGTTCTAAATAATTGAGATCAAACTTGCAATCAGATTATTCTGGCACCCTCATTAGTACAGGTGCTTAAGCAGATATCAGGAGAAAAATACTACTACATAAAATTCCAAAATCTGGGGCCAAATTTCACCAAGAAATGGGATGTAACGTAAGAAAGGATCGATCTTTAATCTTTATGAAAATTATTTGCGATTACAATGGACAAATTTTACAAGAAGAAAGAAATCATAGGAGAAGGAGGAGGAGTAATGATTGTATAATTAGTACCAGTAACAAAAATGAGACTACAATTTAAAGCAATGAGGGCTCGGAGGCGGTGGAAGAGACACTGGAGATAGAGTTTGCTGGTCATAGCACAGTGGGTTCTGTTCACATTCTGAAGTTGGACCATCCAGCATGACAGATCTATGCACACCCTCTTGTTCCTTCAAATTAACATGTAGTGTTAGTAGTAGTAAGCAGCAACATATCAAAACTCAAGAACAATCCCCTCCAGAAAAAATGAAATTACAAATGGGTTGTCAGAAATATTAGCAGAAGAGGCTCGGTCATATGTTCGTAGTCAGTAAAATGAACTTACTGGAGATGGTGAAGAGGGAGAATTTTCTTGCAAGATTCTAAGATGTCCCATAGATTTTTCACCCCCATAAATGGCACCTGTTCCCTCCAGGAGGAGGAGAAAACCGTAGTCGCGGATAGAGCTCAATTTTACACACTCACGGGAGAGAGTAGAAGCTTCTTCAACGATGGAATTTTCAAGCTCAAATTCAATATGAAGTGCAGTAGCCGTTGCTTTTCCCGAGTAGCATCAGGGGATCTTAAACAAATAAACAAACCTCTCCTGGAAATTCCTTTCTTAACTGGGGGTGGTCTCACTGGGAAGGCGAGATTTTGAATGTGAGAGACAAGACAATTAGACCATAACGCTTGCTTCGGCAATATACTAACGGAAAACAGTGGCGACTAGTTGCTCTGCTTGGATTTGGATTTACTATTTTTGTGGGTATTTTTTAAAAATTTAACTGTGATGTTTTTGGGTGTTTTTGAAAAAGTTTTACTATAACAATAAAAAATTGTTACTTAAATTGTTTATTTGTGTATTTTTAAAATTTTAAATGTTATTGTAATATTTTCTAAAAATGAAAAAATAACCACCATCATCTTCGTCACCACCATCTCTCCCCTCCTATTTCCTCCATCTCCCTCCTCCCACTGCTTCCTTCTTGTTTCTCTTCCTCTTTCCTTCCTCTCTCTCTCTCTCCTCCCCTCCTTTCTCTTCCCTCTTTCTCCCCTCCCTTTCTTCCTTACCTCTCCTTCCCTCATTTTGTTGTGAAGTTGGAGCTTTTGGCCGCCACCAGGAAGGGAGGTCTAGGGTGGTTTTAGATGAAGAAAGAAAATGAGAGAGGAAGAGGAAGGAGGTGAGTGGCGGTGGGTGGTGGTGGAGGGTTGATTTTTTTTTATTTGTTTTTTTCAATTGAATTTGAAATATGTATAGTTATTTTTTGGAGTACATATTACTATAATATTGTATATAAAATATTTGTTTAAAAAAAAAAGAAATCCAAACAAAATCTACACCATAGTTATTAAATTCGATCCGACACTGGAGCCAGTGAACCGATCATTGGACTAGACCGAGTTTCAAATCAGATCGTTTGAGCAAAGGGATCGTTGAGTCGTCAATGATCCGGTGGTTCGACCAGATTAAACCGAAAACTCGATCGATTTTATCCTTGAACCCGATTTTGTGGAAAAATTTTATTGCCTTTGTTGAAGTTCAAATCTTGAACCTCTGCTCAACACTACAACATACTTACCATCAGGCTACTTAGAAATATGTTAATAAATTAGCTTTATTATAATATATAAATGTTTTTCAATTCTATCTTTTTTTTCTCTAAAACAAATATATTGGAATTTTTTAATAAAAATTTATTACCCTTCAAACTCTATAAGTTATAAAATGAATTTAAAAAATAACATATTACATAATTCATTTTAAAGACAAATATTATTTTTAATAATTTTTTACACTTAAAATTCATAAATAAGTTAGATAATTACACTAAATATAGATAAAATTTTACACTTGAAGTTTGGTGTATTACTAAATAACTTTATATTTGATTGATTCTTATGTGAATTAATTATTTTATAGCAAATTAAATTAAATGAACTTTTGCTATGACATTATTTATTACAATTTATATCATATATCTTATATAAAAAATTATGAAATATAATATTTAAATATATTTAGTGATCCATCGATTCCCACTCACTCACCGGTTGAACCAGTAACCTGTTGACCCACCTCCTTCGCCGGGTTCCTTTATGGGTTGGGTTTAATAACTATAATCTGCACAATATCAAATATAACTTACAAAAACACAAAAGGAATTAAAAAGAAAAACAAAATTCTATAACCTTTTCTCCTCCCTCTTGGGGGCAAGAGAAGAGAGACGGGGATGGTAATGGAGGCGGAGGAGGGAGGAGGGAGGGTTGGTAGGTGCTGGTGAGTGGTGACCTTTTTTTTAATATTTTATAAGATATTTCAATAAAATTTTAAATTTTAAAAACATTTCAAAAATTAATTATATTAATTTTTTTTTCATATATAATACTATAATATTATAGAAAAATATTAATCCATACGAAGCATATATTATAGAAAACGAATGTCAATTACAAACGAGACCGCGAGAGGCCCTCCAAAATCTTTATTCTAGCAAACTACAAATGAGCAATAACCGAAACAAAATCATCAGAAAGTTCCATACCCAACTTAGCTAGCCATCCGCATCCGCACTCGAATTGTAAATGTTTAATGGTGACTGACAAGAATGAACTAAGCGATGTCCTTTATAACTGAAGGATCAAGGCAAAGTAGTAGTATATGATTCTCCGGCCACATACATTAGTTCTTACAAACACCGAAAAACTGTTTAAAAAAAGTACTAATACGCTTTTTTTTTTCGGTCCCAAAAATAAGTATTCCCTAACATAAAACAAGTGACCTTATCGTGACCGTACCATTTACAATAGCATCAGGTGACGGTGTGAAACTTTGTGAAAACTGAAAAGGTCCCATTTACAACGGAAGGGAACCGCCTAAATGAGGCTACAATAGCATATCCATTTAATGAGCTGTGTCTAGTACTCAGCTGATTATCCCGTAAAACCGCAAATATCAGGTACTAAAGCTTCATTTTCGTTCACTCCAGGTTCGAAATCACGAAATGCTTCTCTCTCTGCTATAAATCCAGCATAAATCAATAAAACGTGAAGTCTTATCACCAAGTAAAACTCCAAATACACAGACAGTACCCAGAGTCATTCTTCTTATTCAATCAATCATACTGAATGTCATATCCACTCTTTCAGAACAAGAAACATCCAAGAATTACCCAGAAATTCAGAGTCTATTACAGAAAGCAAGCTTGTTGCTGGCTGCAGAGCACAATACTGTAGTCATCACTATCATACTATTACAATTCATCAATTTAGTAGTCCTTTTTCCCGAAGTTCTTGCACCAAAGCTGAGATGGAATTGGGCGAACAGGCATATGCGGCCGTTGCTGCAAGTAAAGCAATAAATTATCAGTATGCTAAGGCAAAAGAAAACATGCATGGATGGGTACATCTACTTTGTCAAGGGAAGTCAATCTACATTATCAACAGATAATTGTGCGTGTAACGCTGATAAATGACACATTAGCATCTTCCAACCTAGTGAAGGGAGTCATAATCCAAAAGAAGAAAAATAATGTTAAAAGACAACAAACACAAACATGGTATGGACATCCCATTAGCATGCAAAATCATCAGTAAACTGTCAACATTAAATGTTTACAGTAGGTTAATTGTAGCCGAGTCCACCAAGAAGTTCTGAAAAAAATAAAACGCTTTCATGACAGAAACTGAAAGTCCTTTGGCAGCTTGCACTTGGTCTTCAAACCAGAAATGAATAGCACACTTAAAACTGGACGAAATCTCTATATGCTGAAATCTGATACTGGTTTACTTTTCCAAATAAATTATACTTGTCTAAGGCTGAACTTATGAGGCTTAAAAACAAAATTTGGTCAAGTATGTATGTGAATTTGATAGGATCTACAACCATGATTATTCTTGAACAAATGATCATTCAAGAGAGAGAGGAGATGGAAGCAATAGGCCTGATCCTCAGTCTCTCCAACCCCCTTGGACCCACCCAAAAAAGAAGAAGAAGAAAGAATAAGAAAATGGAGACAAAAGGAAGAGTGGAAAAGAAGAAAAATTTAAGATAGTCCTCGAAGTCACTTAATATGAAATCCAACTTAAAGGCGGTGGGCAAAAAATATTTGAAAGATGCTTTGACAGTGAGGTTACAATATCCAGTAGAGGAAAATTCAGTAGAATGATATCCAAGAAATCCAAATTCCAAGGCTGAGTAAAATGAAAACCATAGAGAACAAATGACCCAGTCTAAAGAAGGTACTCAATCTGCTGCACGTATCAACTGCCAAATGACTTTCCTCAGACAAGTATCATACTAACTTTCCAGCATGACAAGTTCATCTCTTGCAGATTGAACCTAAAATACCTCCCAACTTACCTTGCAATGAATCAAGTGACATAACCAGTCACTTTCAGTAGGAACAGCAATTAGCTGTTAAAACGTAATGGAGTAGCATAGCGAAAACTGACACAGCATATCCCAACGTATCACCAGTTCAAAACATAAGAAGACATCTTTAGTAAGTTCAATCAGCCCAACGTTATTCAAAATTGATAAAAAACCTTTTTGTAGCTTATTTGGCCAAAGCTGTTCAGTTTAAGACTTTCATTCCGTATTCAAAAACGGAGCAGCAGTCATAGATTTAGAATAATATTGAAATGTTTTGTTGAATTATACATCCTCAATTGAAACCTAATTCTAACCAAGAATAATCATATCTTCACCATAGTAAATAAAACAATGCCAATTCACGACTTCCATTAACAAATTCATCATATACTAATAACACATTCTCCAAACCTAAATCATACTAATAAAACGGAAAAGCGTGCATTTTGGGGCAGAGGGGAGATGAATGGGGGGAGGGGTAAGAAGGTAAATGAAGCGACCTCAAGCTGGACCGAAATCATGGCGATGGGGATACAAAGGAGGAAGACGCCAGCCATGGCGATGGCAGTATTGCGCTTCCAGTGCTTGGGGCGGCAGTAAGGCCCACCAGGCATGCTCCAGACTTTGGTCCTAAAGTCGCCCGCTCCGCCGTGCCCGTGGGCCCCATCAACGTGGTGGTGATCTCCTCCGCCGGCCATTTCCGCACTCTGCCTAGTCCTTAGCTGTAGTGTGAATCACACGGAGTGTGTAGGAGGAGGATTTCTTTACTGAGAATTGAGATCCAAAAGGGCAGTATGGATATGGACCTTTTTTTTTGGTGGGCTTGGGGGGTAGCGGGGGTTGGGGAAGTGCGGTAGTAGTGATGTGTGGACTCTGGAGTCTGGTCGGACTGTCAAGTGTTAGCTGCGGAGTCTAAACTCTGTTGCAGGGGATTTTCCGTTTTAGCCCTAACTAAAGCTAGTTCAATCAATACGAATACACTGAATTACCAGTCGGGTTGGTTTCGCTTTTCAAACCAGCAGATTTCAAAACACCTCATAAGTTTTCTAGGAGTTATTCCCGCTGAATTTACTTTTTTTTTTTTTTTGGAAAAAAACTGCTATGTTTGAGAATCAAATGTGTTTTGGGGATTAATGTACGTTAATTTTTAAAAATTTAAGTATAGAAAATACTTTTTAATGTGTTAAACAATTTTTTATTATCATTTTCATCTAAATGGTTCCAAATTATGCTAAAATATACAAGAATAGTATAGTATTAAGCACATATTTGTATTTTTTATCAAGTTACCGAAGAAAACTATTTGGATTGTAAATTATTATACCTTATTTACACACACCGATTTGCTTGTATCATAAACACATTTTTCAACCATCTTTTTATCTTACATACATCATATAAAAAAATAAATAAAATGCTACAGTACTTTTTTGATAAAATTATCTCAAATAATTTACAATCAAAACACAATATTGTTTTGATGCCTTTCCACATGGAAATTCATATATATAGTAATTGATAAAAGAAAAAGAACATGTAAGACGGCATTTTGAAAAGAAACCAAGAAAACATGAGCCCAAGTCTAAGATATTTTCTTTTTCTTTTCATTTTTGTCCAAATAGAATAAAATTGTTTGGATTGAAGGAAAAAAACAATAAAGGAAATGAGAGGTTCTAGTGTAAAAGAGAAGAAAGGAGAAGAGAAGAAATCAAAGTCAATAATAATAATGTATCATGTTGGATTGCAAAAGGGAGTGAAATAAAACTATTAGTTACTTTTTTATTCATAAGTGACACCGAGTCGAGTCGAGTCGCCAATTGACCAGCTTGAATAGTTGAATTTTCCACCCAACAAACATTACAAAGTCGCAAAGCACGACTGCCACGGAGTTTATCCATTTCTTGATCTTTCACGGCATCATTAATCACAGCGAACCAAAACAATTTTGTCTGAATAACAACATCCAAATTAATTTAAATTTTATATATGTGTCATATATCTAACGATGATAATCAATTTGTTAGGATAAGAGTTTATTTGAATGATTTATTTGAGATAATTACTGTAGTACTTTTTATAATGCAATGTATGTGAGATAAAAAAATAATTAAAAAAATAAAAAAAATAATTAAAATTTATAAATTTAATTATTTTATTTTAAATCTTCTTCATCCAAATACACTAAATATATACATTATCAGTATATATAAGATTAATTCTATAAATAAATAAAATTTGACAAATAATCTCCGAAAACACAACACACTGGTTCGCTAAAAAGTGCTATGACGGGTAATTTCACGTGCTCTCTCCTTTGCACCGTTCCCACTGTGGTTCACCATTCACACCAACTAGTCAGTGCGTTCTCGGACACAAAAGAAATTGCGACATCACCCCTGGTCCAGCCAAGATTCAAATGCTTTGATGAAAGGTATTGCTATTCCTCTGCTCTCACTTCTTTTCTTCTTCACTTTTTCATTAGTAGAAGTATTCTCTCCTCTATCAATGCTTGTTACAGAATTGAATTGTTTTCCTGGATCTGTTTTTGAAGATTAGATCGCGGAGAAACTTGATTGAGAACTCTTCTTCTGCAAATGTATGAGATTCTTGACAGCTGAAAATGTCTGATGCATGTAACTGTCTTTCTTGATTTTGGTTGGGTTCAGTTGTGCTTGAATTTTTTTGTTGTGGGAATTATCATGCATCTAGCTTAATCAGTGACGGATCCTTCTTTGAGGAATTATAGTTTTGACATGCTATCGGGTTTTCTTCAATTGGGATATCGGTGGTGGCTATAATTTTTTTTTCTATATGATGATTGGGAGCAAAGGGAATTTGAATCATTTGTGAACGATACATGGAATCGGAAAAGCATTTCGCATGTAAAGATTAACTTATTTATGCTGGTTCTTGATTTTCCTTGATTCCGGTGATCATCAGCACTTCCTGATTTTTGCTTTTTTGTAGTCACTGCTCCACCATTTGAACCCTCTCTCCGGAAATATTGATCACCAAGATTTTGTAAATTTTTTTGCTGGACATGAAAGAGGAGCAGAAAGATTTGAAGAGACTACTGTAACGCGTCATAAAGGACCACTGTGCAAATTTAATGCGGCATGTGAATCTTTCTAAATATTCGGAGGTAAGAATCGTTGTAACATTTCAATTTAATTGAGTGCTTGGCTGCTGGTAAATCTGATTTCCTGGTAGCTCTCATCTGTCTATGCATTAATCTTAACATTGTGTGCTAAATATTTGAAGAACCTCTGTAATTCTTGCATTAGTGACAACAAGCTGCATTTGTCTAATTTTTGGAATATCTTCGATAAAAATGTTGTGGATTGGTTTCTTTTTTAAAGATTCAAGGTAAAATGACAGCACTAGGTACCGTTTAACTGTCATTTCTTTGTCTTTGATCCAGTAATATGCTAGTACGCCACTGAAACAATTTTGACAAATTTGAAAAATGGAAGATGGGGAGCTTGATGTGAGGAGATGGGAGGACCTGGACATAGATATACTCGTGAAGATATTTCAGACATTTGACATTGTCCAGTTGACCTCTGGGATTGGTCAAGTTTGTAGCACATGGCGCCTAGCTGCATGTGACCCTCTGCTGTGGAAAATGCTTGATCTGTCATTGCTGAAGTCTAATTTCATCAAGATTCCCTTAGAGCCTTATGTGTACGTGGACGGTCGGTCTGATAGAACGTTAACCCGAGTTTTGAAGATTGCCTTGAACCTCAGTCGTGGAAATATACTGACTTTGATTTTCCATTACAATCTATATGTCAGTGATGATCAATTGACCTATGCTGCTGAAAGGTATAATCCAAATAATTGCTATTCTTTAGAATATAATACCCTGGTTCACCAATATGCTAGTTTATTATTCATAATTTCTTGCCTTGATGATTTCATTGCTCTTTACATCCTTAGCAAACATTATTTTAGTGATTGGAGAATTATGCTCTGATTTGAATGTAAGGTGAAGTATCTTATGTTTCCGGAAAGTCAAATTTCTTTCAGCCTTTATCTGTTAAGACAGAAAAGTATGAGGGTACTGCATATTGGTTTTTGTTTAGAAAACCACCAGAAAGGTCAAAATTCTTTCTTAGTTTAGAACAGGCACAAAGGAGGCAGACACGAGTTGAAAGAAGATTATGAAAGCTAAGGATAGGGTGAAGGATGAGATAATGGGTAGAAACCATATTAGGTAGAAATCATCGGCTTGCAAGCAGACATATGTTAGGCTGCTCTTTCAATATGTAAAATTAGTTCTGAAATGAAAACTAGCCCCAAGTCGATCCTTTGCTTTGTGCATCCTATGCTTTTAAGTGGTACTAAATTCCTTTTATGCCATAACAATGGTTTCAAGTTCTGTTGCCTTTGTATCGTGAGTCAAATAACTTGGACTGGGGATTCTCCTTAAGGATACATCTGGTGGAATTCTTCACTGTAACAGATTTCATCAGAGCAATAGGGCTATCTAGCTAAGAAGTTTCACTGAACCTTGCTTCTATTAAAATTTGCACATCTGACATGTCTAATGTAGTCACATCCTGTGTTGTAGGTGCCCTCGTCTTAAACGCCTTGTTATGCCTGCTTGGAATAGAATAAAAAAGACCGGAATCTGTAAGGCAGTTCATATGTGGAAAGATCTTGAGTCACTAACGATGCCTAGTATAGCAAATCCCCCCTATCTCATGGAGGAAATTGGGAAGAACTGCAAGAAGTTCTCCGAACTCAAAATTATGGGTCCCTGTGATATTTTCTTTGCATCGACGCTAGTCGCATTTGTTCCAAATTTGAAAGTCCTCAGTCTTCGGTGCTCAATACTAGTTAGGGATGCCCTGATCATACTTCTGGATGGCTTACAACAATTAGAAGTGCTCAACATCTCCCATTGCCTGCTTATTGAAGTTCCTACACCTCCTGCACCGAAAAAGGTTGTCAGTCAAATTGACGAGTTAATTCTGCAGAAGGCTTCTAGGTTACGCAATTTTATAACCTGCATGAATCAGTCATGCATTATGTGTCAGCGCACTAGAAATGATGAAGGGCTGATAAGGTGGTACAAGTATGAAGAGGAGCTCTGGAAAGTAGATGAGGTGAAATCTCTTGCCATCTGACTATGTATAGCACTCTGAGAAGTAGGTCAGATTAGGGATGTCTTGCTGTAGTTTTGCGACATATTTGAATAAATCATATAAATAAACTTGTATAAGCCATCTATCCAATCACTGGATACGGATGCATATGCATCATCTGACCGTGTAGCAGTCTGCTGTGAGAGCTGGTTTTGCAGGTGAACTTCTAAGAAGAGATAAGTTGTACTGATCTGTATCACCCTTGTACATAGATATTTCGTTTTTTCTCATGTTCAGATCGTGTTTTTAACTTCGTAGTAAATGTATACCTCATGTTGTGTCTATTGAAGTCTGCAGGGCTTCATGTCTAAACATGTTACTTAGCTCTTTCACTCCATCCCTACCCCAGTAGGGGTAAAACACTCCCTAGCCCCTGAGTTTATCGACATCTGACCTTTTTTTAGGCCTAACCAGTGTTCATTTGCTAAGGCCGCTTGTAACCCGGGTGCTGCATCCGTGCGTTGGGTTTTGTTATTCCTGTGCAACGTTCTAATGCTGATAAGATGCTCCTCAAAGGGTGTTGGAACTATTTGTACTGCTTTTCCTATTCTAGAATGCAGTAGCAGATTAAGGCCCTGTTTGATAAGTTAATTTAGCACTTAAATTTAATGGAATCAGGTCTTAATATATTTAGACCGTCTAATAACTAAAAATTGAACATCTGAATTAATTAAGTGGCAATGTATTTTTTAAATAAAATTTGTTCCTAAAATTAAGTGATAAGTTATTTACTTATCAGTGAATGTGATATGCACTCAAATATATTAGATTTAATACTTAATAATTTAATAGATTTAGAATTTCAATTTCAATTTTACCAAACGCACCCTAAAATTTTATCAAACACACAGCCTTCAAGGGAGAAAGGGAAAAAAAAAAAGACAGTACAGCTGCTTGGTGGAAAAAAATAGTAGTGCCTCGTCTCGATTCTGTTTTGGCAGATGGCAGCCGGCACTTCTGCTCTTTTTAGGTATCAGACAAATGCAATTTATTTCGGAATCCGGTGGATGGAGGACGGGAATTTGAAGAATTCCTTTTTATTCTTCTAATTTGTGGTTTGCAAACCGCCTGAGAATGTGAAATATGAAATATTCTAGAACAGTAGAGCATGCAACACGTGACGGTCAAATATGCGAAAGAATTTCGGGCATGGAGGAGACCTATAAACATGTACTTTCGTTAGCTTCGTGACAAGGCTACAAACAAACAGTCCAGTTGATCTTTGGTCTAATCGAACTCACTTTCGACTTACTTAACAATTCAAGCTCGGCTTAAAAAAAATAAAAATATTTTTTAAAATAAATAATAAAATATTAAACATATAAATATAATTTTATTATTAAAACAAAAAATTTTTGACTGTTCACAAATTAATAAATTAAATATTTTTAAATCTAAGTTCGAATTCGAATTTAATTTAATCAACTCACACTTGACGTCGACCGAATCTGAATCCTCGAGTCAAACTTTGATTCGTGTGTGGCTCACGAGCGATGGTGACCGAATTTGCTGTGAAAATGAAATTCCCTCAGTGGTAGCCGCTGGGTTGCGATCCGCCTGTCATTGCAGGCCGCCACAGAGAACAGGACAGGATGACCGGCGTTGCCTTCCGACTTCCGAGGGCTGGGGACTGGTCCACCAATTGATTGACCCGCTGCTCAGACTGCAGATAGATGGTAGAAGAAGCAAATAGGATCGTGAATCGCATGCATTTATATGTTTTTAATTTGGGCCCCGTGACGCACGCTACATTTGTAACTTTTCTAGTTTAACGGATCACAGCGATGGTTGTAATGCTTGTCGAGGAAATCAAACACTATATGATTAAAGAATGGAAGGTTAAGTAATAATTTAGGTAGGATACTGTATGACCATAATTTACCCTAGCCTATGACAACTTTTTTCCTACCGTTTGGTACAAGAAAACAAAATAAAAAATATCACAGCTAATTTATGCCTAGGGCGTGGAATCTCACGACTTTCCTCTGTCGTGTATTCAAATAAATAAAAGAAAAAAAAGGTGAAAATATAGCAGAAAAATAAATTAAAAGATTCTGCTTGGATGCTTCCTACCTACATCACCCATCACATGTTATTATCAAATTTTTTTACAGCAGGAGGTGGGTGGGATTTCTGATGTCTTGAGGTTTCAACCAATATCACACATCAAGTTAATTTCTCTTTTTTATGAAATTCTTTTGCGAAATTTTGAAAAAGGAAGAGGTGACAGACATATGTGGAATAATACGTTCTCATTGTACCTAGCAAACATATTATTGCTCCCTAGAATGAAATATATTTTCATGAGTGTAATAGAATGGGGTGTGATTTATTTACTTTTTTTGAACTGATTTTTATAATGATCCTTACAATTTAAAGGTTCGAGCATGGGTTGAGTAGAAGTTGGAAAAAAAAATATAAAGTCCATAAGAAATTGATTTCGAGTATATAGAATTAAATCGGTGTCGTTGTATTGCTCTGCAAATATCTTTTTATTTTTTAAATTTATATCTTTATGGGTTATATAGCATTATGATGTGGTAGTACTATTAGAAATTATTTTTTAAGTGATGGTTTTGTTGAGGTAAACAAAGTGCTCTAGGAATATTTTTAATTAGCAAGTAAATGCGTATTTTAGAATTTTTAAAATTTTGTTGCACAAATAAGAAAAGTAAGTGATATTTTTAAAACCTCAGAGGTATCAGGTGATATTAAGAGAAATTTTAGGTGAGGTTTTGATATTATCCTGCCCTAAGAAAAAGACACCAACCTTAATAGTAGGTCGACCCAACCACCTACCCAGGGCAAAAGAGAGAAATCGTAAATATATAACATTAATGGCCAATTAATAGCAGCAGCTGCAGTATACTCGTATTTATACCCGAAAAAAAGGTAATACTAGTATTACCTGTTAATTTGTCCTGATCGAAACTGCTATGCCAGCCAGGTAATATATGGGACTAAATGTTTTTCGTTTTCTTATTTGGAAAATAATTAAACACTTGACTGAACCTGCAAAATTTCCCATTTTTTTTCAATAAAAATTAATTTGTTGAGAATATTAAAAAGCAATACACACTACAAATATTAATCAGTTCTGTTCTATAGCCCAATTCCTGGTGAAGATATTTTCTTTGTTCTCTGTCAAAATCCTATCCGACCGAAGACCATGGCCCTGCAACTATGGGAGACCCTCAAAGAATCGATCGTAACATACACTGGCCTCTCCCCGGCAACTTTCTTTACAGTGGTTGCGCTGGGTCTTGCCGTTTATTACTTGGTCTCGGGATTATTTGGGTCGTCTGATCAGGGTCATCACCCCAGGCCTAGGGAGTTTGAGGAGCAGGTGGAGCCTTTGCCCCCTCCAGTTCAGCTGGGAGAGGTCACCGAGGAGGTGTTGAAGCAGTATGATGGGGCTGATCCCAAGAAGCCTTTGCTCATGGCAATCAAGGCTCAGATCTATGATGTCTCTCAGAGCAGGTATTTTTCTGTTTCATCTTTTCTGCAGGGTTTAAGGTCTCTGTTGCTTCCCGATTCTCTCTCGTAAAGTTTTTTTTTTTTTTTTTGGGGATGTTTTTGGGATCGTTGGAGTTGACCTCGCATGTTTGAAACAATTCTTCTTGATGTTAAAGTTCTTTTGGCTTTGTTGCTTTCTATTGTATGAAAAAGGTTGAAGCTTTACGGTTGATTTTTCTAAATCTTGCACTGATTTTCGGTTCACTTTGGAATGGTCATATATGTGATGATTCTTTAGATAGAGGTTTTCACTTTTCTGGGATTCTCTTTTGCTTTCTTTGTACTGTTCCTCGTCAAATTGATCCGCTTCATTCGTGCACGAACTTTGTTCGGCCTCCTAAATAGATAGAAATTGTCAAAAGAAAAATAAAAGGGTACGGGAGGGCAAGTGAAAGGATAAAATTTGCTTATGTGACTCTTTTATCACTCATCGGTGATTGTCTGCCTGTGGGACATGAAATTCCTGAACTTCCTTTGAGTGGTTTTCCTAACATCTTTAAGTTGTTTTCTTTTTTGTGCCATTGGTATAGGTTTTTCAAATACTTGTCACGTATTTGATCTTATGATATTCGAAATCTGGATATTGGGATGCGTTATTCGAAATCTGGATCTTGTGTTGCTTAGGGTACTTTTTTGGTAAATCCTTACGTTCACATCCCCAACTTTCTGGCTGTCCGGAAAAGCTTCTGCAATATTATTGTGTATTGCATGGTTTTCTTTTATGTCTTGGTATTTGGGTACAAAGAGCTTTCTCATCGTTAACGAACTGTCTTCTAAGTGTCCAAACGGAGCATCGTCATCCTTGCTTGTGCCGTTCCAATGATTTTATCTTTCAGTTGATTTACTGTTTTCTTTTCTTAATGTACAATGTGACAAAGACTTTGTGATATTAAAGAGAAGGGAGTAGATTTGGTTTTTGGATGGGTTTTGACTTCTTGATGTGTTTACCGAATGTAGAACCAGCTAATTAAAACATGCCGGGGCTACAATCATCTTGAGAAATTCCATTGATGAGACGAAGTATTGAGAGTTATCTACTGCCATCATACCTACATGCAGTGTTACTCTCTTGTATCCTTACATCAAGTTTTTAGCTGGAAAAATCCATGTCAAGACTGCATACTAGTTTACTTGATTTGTTAGCCAATTTAGTTCATCCGATGGCTGCCTGTCTCTTTCTTTTGCACTTGAACCCATCCTTCTCCCTTTCTGTTCCAGTTGCACTCTACTCATAAAATATTCCAACGGAGGAATTTCTGTTGAATATATTCTGTTTTTTATTTTATTTTTCACATCCGCTAATCTCCTTAATTAAGATTAGATCACCAACTTTCTCATTCGTATGCTCCAAAATTATTGTTATTATCTTCTCTAGTGTTATGTTAGATGTCATCAAAGTCATATCAGTACAAAAAGCATTATAACCGATACTCCTTTTCATGGATACTTTTCTGTTGGCAGGGTTTTCTATGGACCTGGTGGACCTTATCATCTTTTTGCAGGAAAGGATGCTAGTAGAGCCCTTGCAAAGATGTCTTTTGATGAAAAGGATCTCACTGGTGATATCTCTGACCTTGGTGTATTTGAGCTCGAGGCCTTGCAAGATTGGGAGTACAAGTTCATGAGCAAGTACGTGAAAGTAGGAACTGTGAAGAAGACCGTGCCTGTGAGTGATGACGTAGCGAATGGTGAAGCTGCAGAAAGTACCAGTGAGGCTACAACTGATGATAAGAAGCCTGCAGAAGCTTCTGATCGTGATGTTGCAGAG